GCTGACAGCTGTCCTTCCACGGAGCTGGGGCTGCAGAGGAAGGGGCTCCACGGGGGCGCAGAGCACCGCAGGGAAGGTGCGACAGAGGGCCCCTAACCGCCACGCAGCTGCTGCAGGGATGAGCGGAGGGGCCCGGCCGGCACGGGAGCCACCGCCAGGGGCACAGCTGTCCCGGGAAACCTACACCAAAACCAGTGCTGGCTGCCTGCCCGCCTGCCTGCTGCGAGTTCCTCTCCCAGTGAGAGGCACGGTGGGCCTTCTTCTCTAAAAAAGGAAACTGCTCAGTTGTGGAGCAAAGGTGATGCCAAGACCTCGATTAACCAACAGCTGCAACCCCAACACCACCGTGAGGCGCTCCAGACGTGTTTAGACCACTGCGGAAGGCACGCAGGCACACGGCCTCCACGCCACCAGGCCTGCCCTCACAGCCCCAGGGAGGTCCCACGGGCCGCGGGGTCCTGGGGAGGAGAGTGCTGGCGATGCAGACGCCGGGGAAGTGGAAGGGATGGCAGAGAGCTGCTCTGGGGACTCTCTGGGGACCGTAGCCACCACCTGAATGGCCAGGGCTTGACCAGACAGCACAGTCTTCTAATGGGACACAGTGTCTCAGTATCTCCATCATTTACAAAGCTCCCATAGAGAACTTCCCTGCGACCCACCCACACCACTCCTGGGCATCTGCGGAATGTCACCAGCCAGGACCCCACAAAGCCACTTGCACACCCGGGCTCACTGCAGCCTGTCCCTAACAGCCAAGGAACGGGAGCAGCCCAGATGCCCTGCAACAGAGGAGCTGACTCAAAAACTGTGGAACCATACACAACAGGAGTTTACTCCTCCACAAGAAAGAGTAAGACCATGTCATTTGCAGGAAAACGGATGGACCCAGAGCAAATCATGTTAAGTGAGGTAAGCCAAGCGGAGAGACAGACAGACATAATGTAAACTGCACATAAATAAATCTGTATAGGACTCGTGGCATTCACACACAAGCAGCCATGCCAAAGGAGGGCACCTGGAGGGAGGAGCCCAAAGACAGACTCTCCGGAACCTGTAAAATACTGACTGAAACGAAAGCCAGGAGATGGAAATATGGGTTGTGTAAAAAAACAAAACCTCACAACCATCAGGAAAACACTGGTGTACAGCTAGAAATAAAGATGGCAACACGGATAAATCAGTCATACTATGAATCGGGCAGAATCCGATCGTGGCACCGGTGCGGTCAGGTGGACCACACCCATCACTGCATGGACAGGCCTGGTGAGAACTACACCTGGCCGCGGAAACGACGCCTTTGTTAGCAAGAAGCTACAGCCTATGACCATCTGCTGGCCATGCATAGATTACTCTTCCACTAATGACTAACCTACCAGGACAGCGGCCGCCTTCCAGCCGTGAGTGAGGCCCCTGGCTGGGGAGAGGAGGGGGAGACGCGCGGCCGGGGGGAGGAGAGGGAGACGCGCGGCCGGGGGAGGAGGGGGAGACGCGCGGCCTGGGCGAGGAGGGGGAGACGCACGGCCGGGGGGAGGAGGGGGAGACGCACGGCCGGGGGGAGGAGGGGGAGATGCGCGGCCGGGGAGAGGAGGGGGAGACGCGCGGCTGGGGGGAGGAGGGGGAGACGCGCGGCCGGGGAGAGGAGGGGACCCGGGGATGTCCGCTGCTTCCCCCACACGGAGCCTGGACTGGCAGGACCCCACGAACGCACAGCAGAGATTCTACTCGGCAGTGACCTGGCGACAACTTACCTGACGAGTGATCTAATGGGAAGTAAAACTGCACAGTCAACACCGTCAGAATGTACTTTCAGGAGAAGTTTAATCAAAGGCAGCCATAGGCATGTCATGAATTGCAATATTAAATTTACAAGGGACATGCAAAAAAAGACAAATGCATTATGAACTGATACGGATTCTTTAATGATCTCAGCACAAACGTTTAACTTAAGGCACTTTTATTTTGCCAACAAGTAACAATTAGTAAGAGAGTAATGGTTCACTATGAAACAACAAATAGCTAATGCACTAGAATGTGGTGTGAAGAGGAGACATTTTTCTTTTCCTGCCTAGTGTCCATCTTCTATCAATGTTACAAGCACGGGAAAGACGAACTTTGCAGCCTCCGTGTAAATTTACCATTTGATGTACATTTTGCCAGAACCTACAGAAAACAAGCACTCAGACTCTGATTAGACTCATCATTGGTTCACACTAAAATTTTTCATTGATGGGAAATACAAAATGTTTGAGCAAATGCATTTAAAAATAAATGCAGGCTAAATTTTCCACATGTAAAAAAGCAACCTCACAGTTGCACATCACGAAGTGTGAAAAGGGGAAGAATTACATGTTGTCCAAATACATTAAAAAGCTTTATAAAATACAGTGAAACTCATTTAGCTTTTAAACTCTTAGGTTGGGACTCCGGGGTTTGAGCTGCTTCTGAGGAAAGTTTTCCAAGGAAGTCATTGCTTTAGCATTCTTTTATTTCAATGACAACTCTTCAGGAACATGTTTGGAAGAGTCTACCACTGTATTTAAATTTCCATCAACTCTAGTCACAAAATGCTGCTTTTCTGTAGTGCACTGTGTGCATGTTGCATGCTTCATTCAAGCTGACCTGGGCATCCTATGACTGTGTGTGTGTGTGATCTTCCAGTTTCTACCCCACTTTTCTCCATGTAAGAATGGCAGGAATCCTGGGAAGGCTCTGGCGGCTCAGTGTGCGTGTCAGCCCTGGCCGTGGGGTCGCTGGCGGCCGTCCCCTGGAAGGCTGTTTTTCTCACCAGTTGTTTTCTCTACACTATGGGGCTGCAGGCTCCAGGGTGCCCGCTGCGCTGCACCCTTACAGGGATGGCCAATGGAACACGGAAAGAGCTGCTTCCATGGAGGAATTAGCACAACACGGCATGAGACATCAATCTAAGCAAAATCGGGCTCAGGAATTCAAGATGATTATGGAGCGTTTTTTTTGTGATCACTTCAATACAAACGAACACATTTGCTCAAAAAAAATATAAGAAAAAAAAAATCAGTCAGGATAGAAAACACTTACGAAATTGACTAAAGGAAAAATTCCCATTGCTTTTCTTTTCTCTTTGTTTCTTTTGTCAGTCGTGGGGCCTGAACTCTGGGCCTGGGCGCTGTCCCTCAGCTCTTCAGCTCAAGGCTAGCGCTCTACCACTTGAGCCACAGCGCCACTTCCGGCTTTTTTCTTTTTGCTTATGTGGTGCTAAGGAATCGAACCCAGAGCCTCAGGCATGCAAGGCAAGCGCTCTACCACTGAGCCACCTTCCCAGCCCCCCCACATTGCTTTTCTTAGAATATACAGTGGAAAAAAGCTCTGCATTTTTACTAAACTTCCAAATTTCCACTTTAAAACAAGAAAAATCTACCCGTAGATTTCATATACAAAATGATTAATAAATTAACTTAAAAACATGTAAAGTGCATACAAATGCTATGTAAATATAACACTCATTCTTAAAACAGTATTACTGCTGTTTGTAATATAGACTATAAAAATATATGGTTCCAACTGAAAAAATGGTGTTTTAACTACCCATAATCTTTGAAAAGAAGCCAGCAAGGATGGGGCATGACTCGCTCACTAGGCACAATGTTCACACTTGGGTGGATCTATCACTCTCAGGAAGCGGAAGATTCATACAACCAGATGAAAGATAAAGATACGTCTTCTGAAAGCAGAGAGAATGTTAACTTAGTGAAAAGAAGGGTGTTTAATGTTTTGGCAAAGTCTTTCCCAGCCCATAGTAAACACACAATGAGTGGCTGGAGCGAGATATTTTCACAGTGTACAAAGCAGTTCACACGGCTGCTGCCGCAGCAGAGTGAGCTGACACGCGTCTGAGCTCAGGCTCTGCCATGAGTGACCCACCTGGGAGACTAAATAAGTAATTCATGAGATGATTTGTAGAGACAAGGCCTGGAGCTGTACTAGCTACATTTAAAAAAAGTAGTTCTATGTAGTTTGCTTGTTATAGACAAATCTCACAGTATGCTCAACTATATTGCATGTAAAAATTATACGGCCCAAAGAAAAGGAATTAACACAGAACTTGGGAAAATATCCCCCACACATTTTAAAATGCCCTGCAAGTTTCACATTCAAAATTTTATGCATCTAAATCTAAAAAAATATTATATGGAGTACTTTTAAATTTACACAAACTGATAATAATTTACTGTATTCTTATTCTTATTATCTAATAGGAGCAAATTACCACATACTTGAACAAAGTTAAAATAGTTACTATTTCTTTATAATAAATTTGATGTATAATTTACTTGTGCTTTTTGCACCAACTTATAAATACAGTATATGTAATGCACAATCAAGATGGACAACATTGATAATTAAATTCAAAACAGCAAATACTTACCTCACAAAATAAACATTAACGACACCTTTTATGAAAACCGGAGTCTTTGGATGCCAGGTCTGGGCAATGAGGCATCCCAGGCCAGCCGTAGGACTGGCAGGAGGCATTCGGTTCAGGGGAACCCAAACCAGGCAGTCGCGTCTCCCAAGCGGATAGCCAGCCAGCAGAACGCTCCGCTGCGGTCCCTGTGGGCCTTTTCCTTCCCAAAGACTCCCACCAAGGCGCTTGCTACTGAAAACAAATCGGGGTGCAGCTGCTGACGGGCTCCCAAGGACCTCGGGGGGCTCATGCGGAAGCCTTGAAAGAAGTTCAAGTACTAAGCAACAGGTTGCTTCAGCACCTTTGACCACAACAAAAGCAAAGTCCTACATAAATAAGAATGAAGTTTATAAAGTGCTTATGAAATGATAAAACATTTCAAATTACTGTCCAATTCACCACCACAGGTGAATGATTGGGTCACTTTCCTGCACGATCTGCCATGCCTTTCGAATCAGCAGTTTGGTCTGCCAGTTTTGAAACAATGATACCTTTTTCACCATTAACAAATACATAAATATTTAAACTAACCATAATTCCTTCTGTAAATATGAGATTAAAAAAAGCACCAATTGCAAAAGGCTTGCTATCACACTCTGGTGTAGGCTGCATAATCTACATTTTTAAGTCTGCTTTAAAGTTGAATATGACAACACCAAACCACTTGTTCACTTTTTCATTTAAATGCCTCTGTACGAAGTACAGCATAAAATATCGGAAAACATCAAAGAAATGAAAGCCCACAAGGACCTCTGTCTGGGTGACTACTACATTAACTTTGCCTTTCTACGCTCCAGGGCACACATGAAGAGCATGTTTTCGTTTCCAGGTCTAGAAGTGTGAAGGGTGTCCGTATGGAGTCTCTCCCTGCTGTGGCTGGTTACCTAGTGAGAAACACAAGGGTGAGTTCAAATTGCAGACGCAGTGAAATTCTGCTTTCCTCTTGCCACCGCCCTCAGGAAAAGCCCCAGGAACAGGGAATAGATATTCCTCGGGCAGATGCTGTTCTAGTCCTTGCAGACCCTGGCAGTGGGGTCCACGTAGTGCTGAGTCCACTCTGCAGAGGGGCAGACGGACGCACACAGGAAGTCAGCAGACAGCAAACATGGACGGACTGCTGGCTGCAGTCCAGGGGGCAGCTAGCAGTCGCTGGTTCTACGTCCACGGTGCAGCCCTGCGCACAGGCCCCCGCAGGGGGCCTTGCACAGGGCGGCACCGAGAGTCAAGCAGGGGCCGCCAGCAGCCAAGAAGGCTGCCCTCACGCTACCGGCTGACATGGGGAGGCAGTCCGCAGCTCTGTCTTCCATTGTTAGCTAAATACTCTTGATAAACCAATTCATTTGTTTGTACTTCTGGTGAAATTAGTTCTTCAGTAAGAACATCTAATCTCATAGGGTTAAAAAATTAAATTAACAGATGGAAAGCTACAGGTTCCAGAAAAAGTGGATCTAGAAGATGCATTCCTCCAGCAAGTAAGAGCAGATACACTCCCCAAAGAGGTGTATTATACAAAAGCCACAGGCACTGTGGCTCATGCCTATAATCCTGGCTACTCAGGAGGCTGAGATCTAAGGATTGTAGTTTAAAGCCAGCCTGGGCAGGAAAGTCTGTGAGACCCTTATCTCCGATTAACCACCAGAAAACTGAGGTGGAGCTGTGGCTCAAAGTGGTAGAGCGCTAGCCTTGAGCTGAAGAGCGCAGGAATAAGGCCCAGGTTCTGCGTTCAAGCCCCACGACCAACCCCCCCCCCCCCCCCACCACCAAAAAAAAAATCATAGGCACCAATTTCTAGATACTTGAAAAAAAAATCTGCCTTAAGATTATTTTCTCTCAAGAACATAAACTCTAGAATTAATGAAAATATAATGAAGTCTTAATTGCAAAGTGCTGTAATATCTATCTATAAAAGATTTACTTGATATAAATGAAATTAAATGACAGTTATAAGATATCATTTTAAAGGAAAAATGCAAACAAAACCTTAATTATGACTGGCAGAGAGACACTAAAGTGTAGGCAAAGCCTTCCCTCTGCTAGGCAAGACCATACACACACAGCAGCCAGGCAGGAAGTCAAGCTTGGACCCGGCTGGGTGGGGGCCACACACCGGCCTGTCCTGGCAGCATGGGCAGGCTGTGAGCCCCAGACAGCTGCCCTCCGCACAGACTGCCCTCCACTGCATCTCAGAAACACAGACCTGAGACCCAGGGAAAATGGCTCACTTTCATTCTTGCTGTGCAGCCTAAAACAAAACAAAGCAAAACAGACAAACAAACCAAAGCAAATTCATATGACTCAAGAAACCAAGACACCTGTGCTTTTACAGAATGCCCCAAATTAAAAATATCTCCAGGTTTAGGCCGGACGCTGGTAGCTCACGCCTGTCATCCTAGCTACTCAGGAGGCTGAGACCTGAGGATCACAGTTCAAAGCCAGCTGGGGCAGGAAAGTCCATGAGACTCTTATCTCCAATAAATCACTAGAAAACCAGAAGTGGTGCTGTGGCTCAAGCCATAGAGCACTAGCCTTGAGCTGAAGAGCACAGTGACAGCGCCCAGGCCCAGGGTTCAAACCCCACTACTGACCAAAATGAATATATTATATATATACATACATATATATATATATATACATATATATATACACACACACACATATATATGTATCTCCAGGTTTTAAAGTCAGGCGCCAGTGGCTCACACCTGTCATCCTAGCTACTGAGGAGGCTGACATCTGAGAGGATCACAGTTCAAAGCCAGACCAGGCAGAAAAGTCTCCGTGAGATTCTTATCTCTAATTAGCCAATCACAAACTGGAAGTGGCACTGTAGCTCAAGTGGTAGAGCACTAGCCCTGAGCACAAAGAGGCTGAGGGACAGAGCCCAGGCCCTGAGTTCAAGCCTCACACTGGCAAAAAAAGGAAAAAAAATTCCAGGATTAGACAAAAGGAAACATACCGAGTTTAGAAAAAGACTGGAAAAACAGTATTTGGACTGAAATCAAACTCTTGAACTGCCCCAAATGTGACCCAGTGCCGAGGAGCCCGCCAGGCCCAAGGCCCATGCTGCTCCGCCGCGGGTTTCCGAAGCGCGGCAGCCGGCACCGCGCCAGTGGGTACTTACTGGACAGCTGCTTCTGGAGCTGCCGCACTAGGGCGGCCGTCTGCTGCTGCTGCTGGGTCTGCTGCAGGCCCTGCCTGGGGAACTGCAATGCAACAGGACAGAGGAGGAGTCAGCCTCAGGGCCGTCACAGACGGACGGGCGGCAGTGCGTCCGTCACAGACAGACGGCGTGCCGCAGATGCGCTTCAAGAGCAAGGGGCTGGGCCCTGTGTAGACAAGCCAGGTTCCATCTGCACTTGGTGCACTTCTGGTAGACAGCCGAGGTCCACACTGCTCAGAGACACAATGACACAAAAATGGCACAAAGACTGTTCTTGACCGACTGCTGTAGACCTTGCTTGCATGCCCAGAGGAAAAGCAGGCCCTAACCTGAAGAGGATGCAGGCTGGGTCAGCCCAGAGCTCTAGCTAAATGAAAGAAGTAAGACACTGTCCTTCACATGCAGCCTTTACAGCTTTCAACACAGAAGGAAAAAATTATGAAAAACCTACTATGGCTGGTCATCCCAGCTACGCAGGAGGCTGAGATCTGAGGATCACAGTTCAAAGCCAGCCCAGCAGGAAAGTCCGTGAGACTCTTATCTCCAATAAACCATTCAGAAAAAGCTGGAAGTGGTGCTATGGCTCAAGTGGTAGTGTGCTCGCCTTGAGCTGAAGAGCTGAGGGACAGCACCCAGGCCCAGAGTTCAAGCTCCACAACCAACAAAAAAGAAAAAAGAAAAGAAAAAACAAAAAACCTACTACAGATTTCAGTACCCATTTAAATTACTCTGAATGATGCAGGACACTGGCAGCTCACGCCTGTAATCCTAGCTACTCAGGAGGCTGAGATCAGAGGATCAGAGTTAGAAGCCAGCCCAGGCAAGAAAGTCCATGAAACTCTTATCTCCACTAAAACTACCCAAAAAAGCTGGAAGTGGAGCTGTAGCTCAAGTGGTAGAATACTAGCTTTGAGCACAAAACCTCAGGAACAGTGTCCAGGCCCTGAATTCAAGCCCAGGACAAGTAAAACCAAACTTCAGCAAAACAAACCAAAAACTCTGAATGAGATGGACACTGATGGCTCACGCTGTAATCTTAGCTACTAAGGAAGATGAGAGCTGAGGACCACAGTTCAAAGCCAGTCCAAGCAGAAAAGTTTGTGAAACTCTTATCTCCAATTAACCAGCAAAATGCCAGACGTGGAAGTGTGGCTGAAATGATACAGTGCCAGCCCTGAGCAAAAATGCCCAGCGAGCATGTAAGACTGCAAGTTCAAGCCCCAGTGATGGCATAAAAAATAAAATAAATTCACTACGAATGTTTCTCTAAAATTATTTCCCCATGAACACCACAAGGAGAAAAGCCACATGCACACTCCGAGCAGCATGCGCAGTCCAAGGGGAACGGCGTGAGACCAGTGGAAGCAGACCGCACACTGGACCCTCCGTGCTTGCTGTGCCCCGCCCCCACACAGCGCGCCCACTGGACGCTCACCAAGCTATCTGGCAAGCCAGGAGATGTGCCTCACAGATCAGAACCACAAGTTGAGAAGGTAAAAAGTAGTAGTTGGAATACTGATAAATTTAAAGTTTACTTTTTGTTTACATAGGTGTTGCACAACAATCTCCCTATTAGCAACTGCTACCCAAAGTTTTGGGTACCTTATAATTGCATGTCCAAGGGTCCATTTGTGACTTGGTGGCAGAGTGCTAGCCTTGAGCAAAAGAAGCTCAGGGGCAGGGCGGAGGCCCAGAGCTCTAGCCCTGGGACCAGAAGCAAAACAAAACAAAAAAACAGGGTAAGACTTTCCCGCTCAGCATCAACTATTTCAAACATGTAACATGACTTAATTTCAGCGACATTAGTTCTTTTTGGCTTTCCTTAAGAATGGCAGCAGCATGTTTTGTTGTACTATATACAGTAAGAAAGAGATCTAACAGATGCTCCACAGTGGAGGGGGATGTAAGCTGCTCCCTTGGTTGCACATTCTAGCATCACGGGTTAGACAGACTCGGACGTGCGGAAGCCTGGTGTGAAAGGCAGGCGTACACACCACACACCCAGGGTGCTACGCACAGGCACGCGGCGGCTAACGCAAGAGCCCAAAGCTGAAATTCCTCTCAACAACCAATGCACCCCACACAGCATGCGTCAAGTGGCAGCATGTCTGTGGTATGGGCTATGTGGAGGGGCACAGGAGGAGAGGGAGGAAAGGGGGGAAAACGCAGTCATCCCCGTCACTGTACACTCCCTAACAACCGAACTGCGTGAGTTGAGGTAGGAATGGGTGGGGGAGCAGGTGAAAAGCGGCTGAAGCACACTGATCAAAATGCTGACACATGGAGTGTACAACCACTTAATAATAATAAAATACAGTAAGGAAAAATATGACTTAAGAGCTGCGTGCTTGTGGCTCACGCCTGTAATCTCAGCTACCGAGGAAGCTGAGCTCTGAGGATCACGATTCAAAGCCAACTGGTGCAGGAAAGAATGAGAGACTCTCATCTCCAATTAACCACCTAAAAACTGGAAACTCCAAGTAATACAGCATTAGCCCTGAGCACAAAGGCTCAGGGACAGTTCCCAGACTCTGAGTTCAAGCACCACAACTGACAAAAATAAAAAAAGCAAAAAACCTCAAAAAGAGATAGGCAAATAGGGAGAAGAGAAAGTTCTTTCTTGTAATAGAGTATCAGGATGGGTTCTGGTGGTTTATACTGGTAATCCTAGCTACTGAGGAGGCTGAGATCTGAGGATCATGGTTTGAAGCCAGCCAGGGAAGGAAAGGCCATGAGACTCTTCAATTATCTACCAGGAAACCGGAAGTGGAGCTTTAGCTAAGTGGCAGAGAGCCAGCCTTGAGCAAAAAAGCTCAGGGACAGCACCCAGGCCCAATGCCCCCCACCAAAAAAAAGAGTATTGTGGGGCTGGAGGTGTGACTCAGTTGGTAGAGTGCTAGCTACTGAGTGAAAGCATCAGGTACCAAGTTCTAGTCCTGGTCTCAGACCATAAAAAGATAGACTATCATCTATTAAAAACAAAAAATAGCCAGGTGCTGGTGGCTCATTGTAATCCTAGCTACTCAGGAGGCTGAGAGATCTGAGGATCACGGTTCAAAGCCAGCCTGGGCAGGAAAGTCCATGAGACTCTTATCTCCAATAAACAACTAGAAAAATGGAAGTGGCGCTGTGGCTCAAGCAGTAGAGCGCTCACCTTAAGCTGAAGAGCTGAGGGAAAGCGCCCAGGCCTAGAGTTCAAGTCCCACAACTGACAGGAAAAAAAATAGTGAGAATTAAAAGAAGAAATTATTTTCCTACTTCCATAGTGGCTTCAGGCAAGAATAATTAAGAACATGTAAGTCTAGTGGGTGGAAGTCTGATGAGCAGTAAAACAGATTGGGCCAAACCATTCCTACAAATTCCCGAGTAACTACAAAGGGAAAGTCAGTAGAAAGATCTGTCAGCTTTTGGTATCACCAATAACATATATTCCAGTGTGACCCATCAAAAATGGCACAGTAACCATTCATAATATTCCAGCTCAACATGAACACAGAAGACTCAAATGATGACAAACCGAGTAAGTAACCTTCTAAAGTAAATGTCCCGTGCAGTTTACACTGGTTAACTTTCTGAAGAAAACATTCCATCCAGTTTAAAAATGCCCTCCTCATGAACACAAAGGGGAAGGGCAGGAGCATTTGGAACTGGTCCAGGTAAGAGGTGAGGAAGCAGACACGAAAGCTATGTGTTCCGTGTGGCAGACGCGGGCAGCAAAGGGCCGGACAGCTGCACAGGGCTGTATTCACGCTACAAACCCCAGTGTCCATGATCCTGAGGCTTCCCCAAGGGACTATGATTCTGGAAAAAGTAAACTGAAAAACCTACAAATAAATAGGCATGTCTATCCTTTATATACATCACAAAGAAGAGGCAGGAGGAAGGGAGAGGAGAGTGAACAACACCAACGCTGCCGTCAGCCATCGGGAATCTGTGAAGGGTTTGGTGACTCGTCTCTGCACTATTCCTGCCACTTTTCTGTCACAGTAAAAAAGTGACATCTTGTTCTTGGGCAGAGCGTGAGCAACCATTAATTCAAAGGAGAACTGTCCCCCCTACTGCCTGGAACAACCCAGCCAGACACACCCTGCTCCTTCTCTTCTGAGGACCAAGAGCTGGGTGGAGGATGTTCACTCTGCCATGGCTGCGCAAAGGCTTCTTCAATTGTAACAAACGTAATAAACATCACTGGCAGCAAGGTTAGAAAAGCGAGATGCACGATGGAGGGGAACTGAAAACCAAAGCTTGTGCTGTCAGGCAGAGGTCTGCTCTGGGGCTGCCTGCAGGGCAGGCTCACTCCCGAGGACAGGCTTCCAGCCACGCGCACCTGTGCAGACCTTCCTGATGCCCTGCCTTCCTCCCGCTGCTCCTGCCTTCCCACAGCCGTGAAACCATCTCCCAAATCCAGGGCTACACACCAGTGTGAGCCTACCGCTTGTGTGTGTGTGTGTGTGTGTATACCAGTGAGTCTTCCGCTCGTGTGTGTGTAGGTGTATACCAGTGTGAGCCTACCGCTCATGTGTGTGTGTACACGAGTGTGAGCCTACCGCTCATGTGTGTGTGTACACGAGTGTGAGCCTACCACTCATGTGTGTGTGTACACCAGTGTGAGCCTACCGCTCGTGTGTGTACACGAGTGTGAGCCTACCACTCATGTGTGTGTGTGTACACCAGGGTGAGCCTACCGCTCATGTGTGTGTGTGTGCGCGTGTATACCAGTGTGAGCCTACCGCTCATGTGTGTGTGCGCGTGTATACCAGTGTGAGCCTACCGCTCATGTGTGTGTGTGTGCGCGCGTGCATACCAGTGTGAGCCTACCGCTCATGTGTGTGTGCGTGTATACCAGTGTGAGCCTACCGCTCGTGTGTGTGTGCACCAGTGTGAGCCTACCGCTCATGTGTGTGTGTGCACCAGTGCGAGCCTACCACTCATGTGTGTGTACACCAGTGTGAGCCTACCGCTCGTGTGTGTGCGTGTGTGTGTGTACACCAGTGTGAGCCTACCGCTCGTGTGTGTGTGTGCACTAGTGTGAGCCTACCGCTC